GAGCAGGGAGCCCGATGCGGGACTCGATCCCGGGACTCCAGGATCATGACCTGAGCCAAAGGCAGTCGCCCAACCAACTGAGCCACCCAGGCACCCCGAGAGAGAGAGAATCTTAAGCAGACTCCACTCCCAGCACGGAGCCCGACACACGGCTCGATATCACAACCCTGAGATCATGACCTGAGCTGAAATCAAGAGTCAACACTCAACCAACTGAGCCATCCAGGCACCCCCTGACAACAGCTTTTAAAAAGTATTTCTTTTTGCCAAACTATGGAGAGCGCCCAAATGCCCATTGACTGATGAATGGATGAAGAAGATGTGGAGTGGATATATGTATGGAATATTACTCAGTCAGCAAAAAGAATGAAATCTTGCCATTTGCAGCAACATGGATGGAACTAGAGTGTATCATGCTAAGTGAAATAAGTCAGTCAGAGAAAGCCAAATACCATATGATCTCACTCATAGGTGAAATTTAACAAAGAAAACAGATAAACATATGGGAAGGGAGGAAAAAAGGAGAGAGGGAAACAAACCATAAGAAACTCTTTAACACTAGAGAACAAACTGAGGGTTGATGGAGGGAGGTGGGTGGGGGATGGGCTCCATGGGGGATGGGTATGAAGGAGGACACTTGTTGTGATGAATCACTGAATTCTACTCCAGAAACCATATTTCACTGTAAGTTAACTAAGTAAAAGTTAAACTAAAGAAAGAATTTATTTTCTTCCCTCATTATAAAAGCAATGCACCCACACAGCAAAAACAAATGAGAGGAATACATAACAATAACCAGGAAGTACATTTTAGTCTCACCTTCCAGACAGAATGACTCTTACAAATTTTCAACATCACAGATGTCATCGCTTTTGTTTATTTCCTTCTAGGTTTTTCTCTTGTGTTTTACAAAGGCATAGCCATAGAATATATACAATTTTGCATCCTTTCCGTGTATCATTATATCACCTATTTTACCCTACTGCTACAGAGTCATTAAACTTACAATTTTTTTAATACAACAGTTATGCTCTATCAAAGAAACACACCACAATTTCTAAACTATCTCCTTAGTGTGACACGTGTGGGTGGTGTTGGTAGTGGTTTTTCTCTCTATCATGAATATGGCTGCTATGAAAATCTCAGCGCATGTAGCTATTCCCATAATTTAATTACATAAATTCAAAGGTAGACCTTTACTTCAAAGGGTATAGCCCTTGCAACATAATACTAAAATTATTATCAAAAGGATTGAGACAATTTAAGGGATACCAGCAACTACTGGTTTCATTCCCCCCTTCTCAGCATTAGGTATTAGCACTTTTTTTCTCTCTTTAACTAAAACAATAGGTGAAAATTTGTTTTATTCGGTCTGGTGGGATGTATGCACATTTCCAGCACTGACCTGGGGTAGTTGACCTTGAACCTGGACAACTTCTCTGTTACCTCGCTGTCGATCAGTTCACAGAATTTTTCTTTCCTCACCAGTATCATCTCAGCTCCCAGGCTCACGAGGATCAAGGGCCGCATGTCACGCTGGTTCTCCGGGAGGAGGATCTGGTGAAGGCCCTGGGGAACAGAAAGTTCCAGAAAGTTTGACCTCAGAGACTGTCCACTTCTACCAGCAGATTATCTAGACAGGAAAAACGAGGCCCCAGACAGACGGTGAATCCATCTGGTGGTCATTCTGCAAGTGATGGGGAGAAGGTCAGGGCTCCTTCTACATGATATCAAAGGCCTCTGACAGTTGGGATTAAGAAGAGCCTGTAAGGAAGGCACTTTGTCCGTGTCCTACCTCCATGCAGGCTTTCCAAGAATCACACTCTTCAGGGTACAGCTTTTCACAAGGTTTCCCCCATGTCCAATCTCGACTCTTGTGCCAAGTAAAGCCAATTTTCTCCTCTTCAAGCAGTGACAGAATTCCAACAGCGAGTCTTCCTCTTCTAAATCTTCCCTTCTGCAGCCACCACACCCTCCCTCATCCTCTCTGCAGGTCTCTGCTCATGTGACCCCACTGGGCCTCAGTTACCTTCTCTGTCCCTCACAGACCTCGGGGGTCACTGGCCTCCTCTCTGCAGCTCAGTTACTCCTCTGGCTCCCTGACCATGATGATGATGATGATATGACAGCAATATTTATTGAGCATTCGCTACATCCCAGGCCCTCTTGCTGCTGCCGTGGGTATAACTCATTTGACACCGTCACAGTCCCCCATGAGGTGGGTCCTATTGTTATCCTCATTTTACAGAGGATGCTGCTGAGATTGAGAAACTTGTCCAACATCACATAGCATGGAAGCAATAAAGCTAGCATTTGAGCCCAGGGGGTCTGTCTTCAGAGTCCATGCTTTTAACCACTATACTCTGAGGAAACTGAGGCACAAAGAGGTTAAGTAATTTGCCCAAGGACAGAAAGAGGTGGAGGCAGGATTTGAACCCAGCGATCTGTTCAGAGCTCCACTGAGGGCAGCACCGTTGGCAGGTGCCCTCATCCACCTGCAACCCATCCCACACACACCAGCCAGTCAGGGCCCTTTTCTGCCTAAGCCCTTCAAAAACCTTCCCACAGCACGCAGGATAAATGAGAACTCCTCATTGTGGCCCCAAGGCCTGGGCTATCTCCACTTTGCCTGGCTCTCCAGCCTGGCCTCATGTCACCCTGCCTTGTTTACTCTGTTCCAGCCATGCTGCCCTCCCTTCCAGTCCCCTTGACACACCAAGCTCCTTCTGGCCTCAGGTTTTGAGCTTACTCTTCCTTGGTCTGCAACACACTTCACCCAGGTCGTCCGCAGCTTGTTCTTTTCACCATTCAGGTCTCAGCTTAAACATCACCTCCTCAGAGCTGGCTTCCTTGATTGTTCCACTTAAGAAGCCTGCCCCACAATCCAGCTTTCTCTTCTATTCCCAACAGCAGTTTGCACTATTTTATGTGCTTGCTAATTTATCTGTTTATTGCCTGTCCCCAGACTAGATCATAAGCCCCACGAGGGCTGGAAGAATGTCAGTTTACTTACCCACACTGGCATTTTGGGCCATGCTCAAGAACTCTCTGCTGAATGAATACTCAAATGGGGTAACAGAACATTCGAATTAGCAGCTCACCCAGGTGAATTTCCTCATTTTCTGATGAGGACACAGATTCAGAGAGGTCAAGTGATTTGCTCGAGGCCACACAGCTGTCTAATTAGAAGCAAAATGAAGATAAGGACCCCCTGACCTTGACCCCAATCTGTTATATCCCTTCTGCCCTGCCCATGGCTCCGGCTTGCCCAGTCTGAGGCCTCAGTCGGCCTGTTGCCTGGAGAAGCTGGTTCCCTTACACCTCCTGGCTCAAAACAGAGGCTCTTCTCCAGGCCCCAACCTCTGATGTTCCCAAGACTGACCCAGCTTCACACTCCTGCTGCCCACGTTAGGCAACTGTGATCTACGTGAATACAGGCGCAGCTGTCACCATTCTCTCCCCGACAAATGAAGTCAGGGAGACCAGAGTCTTACCGAGGACACATTAGGGAGACCTCCACAGGCATTTTCATCAGGAGTCATGCTAACACATATCTGGGGGCGGGGCGTCTTCTCTGTGCTGGGCCCTGCGTGACGAACGAGGCAGCGGGTCTTTGTTCCGAGCCCTCACCCAAAGCCTTCTAGGCCTTCCTAGAGAATCAAGGCCAAGGTCCCTATTCCCGCATGGCAGGCCCTTGACAACACGGTCCCTGCTGCTCTTGGGCCATATTGCCCCGCCTGCCCTGCCGTCACCGTCTGCCCAACCAGACAACGCCGTTCTGCCCTCCGGTGCCCTCATTCGGCTCGGGGTGCCCAGCATCCCCAGCTGCTCTGCCTGGCGGTGTGAGGCTGCATTCACAGGCCAGCGCCTGGCCTCAGGAGCCCCGTGTTCAGTTCTGAGTGCCTTACCTGGAAGTACTAACTGCCCTGAAGGAATGGAGGATGTTCTGACCGAATGAGAAAATAATTAACGGGGCACTGGCACTGTGCCTGGCTCCCGAAATGTTGAATGAAAAACAAAGTGGCATTCTTTAAATATCTAAGGGGCCATCATGTGGCTAGGAAGCTGATTTCTTCTGTTTTGTTCTTGGGGTGGCGGGGGAGGTTGGGGGAGGAGCTAGTTAAAAGTTGCAGGAGGCGGGCGCCTGGGTGGCTCAGTCGGTTGAGCGACTGCCTTCGGCTCAGGTCATGATCCCAGGATCCTGGGATCGAGCCCCGCATCGGGCTCCCTGCTC